TGGCCAGCTTTGCTGCTGGGTAGACTTTCTCCTCATGTATTATTCTGATCCAGATTCAATCAACTTCAACTTGCTGGCACATTAAATTCCAATTCTTCATGCATGTCCTCATGGTGAGTAATCAGGATCTCCGACTTACAGAAGGCAGAGCATCTTATGCACGAATACACACAGCCACTACCATCCATACCCTCTCCTTTCCAACTGCTTATCTCCACCTGACTCACCAGTGCAGAAGTCCTGCCACTTTAGTCACAGTGGAGAAACCTTGGTGCTCTTAAAAGGTGGAATATGGACGAAAAGGCCCACCTGTGAGCAGCAGGAAGCAATCCACTAGGCCAGGGGCTGGGATGAAGGAATAATGGGGACACCAGGGAAGGCCTAGGACTTGTCACTCACTTGACAATTATCAGGTTGTGTATCCCTAAGCCAAAGAGTCCAAAATCTGAAATGCTCTAAAATCCAAAATATTTTGAGTGCCAACACAATACTCAAAGGGTATCATGCTTGTTGGAACATTTCAGATTTTTGGAGTAGGGATGTTGAACTGGTAAGTGTAACCCAAATACTCCAAAATCCAAAACCAATCTCAAATCTGAAATACTTCCGGTTCCAAGCATTTCAGATAAGGAATAGTCAACCTGTAATACTAAAAGTTCCAGGCACTTTTCAGAAAAGTTCATCTGACCTGGCTTAAAAACTCCCAATGGCTTGCCTTGACCTTAAGTCCTAATTCTCTGGAATAGCTACAAAGCCCTTCATAACTGGATTCTAGATCATTAACTCATACCATCACCTCAAATTCTTCAGGTAACAAATCAAAGGGGGTTGGAGGGAACTCATATTGTCACATAAATTCATTTAACACAAATACTTTCCTCTTTACCCCAATGTCAGATCAGTTGCAGGAAATTAAGATTTTTGAGCGATGCAGAGAAGACAGGCAATTTTGGAACACAGAACATTCTAGTGATAGAGGCAGAAGAAAGCAAAGCACTTAGAAGGGCACCAGGAGGTGAGTGAGGGGCAGTGAAGGAGATGAAAATAATCTTACCCACTTTCAAGAGGTAGGCTGGTATCACAAGTAAGATACATTATGAATTGAGCTGGCTCCAGGACTAGCCCACAAAACTGTTTCAACAGCTCTGTAGGAAAATGTCTCTTACCTCTAAAACATTAACTTAAAATTGAACTCTTGAGAACACTGGTCCTTTGGGAATGTTGGAGATTGTTTATATAGTTCTAACCAAGATACTGGAAAAGGGAGGGAATGCATATAACACAAGGCAAACACCAAGTTAAAAATCCAAAGCATCTACATTTGGCTTTGGAATATAAACACACACAGCTCATCCCCACACCCTCATTTCTGGATTTAGTCCTTGTGCTCTCCATTTGATTTTACTATTAGATGGTAACAGGAACTGGGCTCTGAGTTTCAGTCTTATCATCACTCGCCTGGTGACAATGCAGGCATCCTCAGATTTCAAAGCCAGACTAGCTTATCTGACCTTCAGGAAGAGTCAGGTTACTACCTTGCATTCCCACTCATCACATTTTTAGTTTCTCTCTCTCTTTCTAGGTGAGGGGTTTAGGGAGGAGAGTTTGATCTTGGTTTAACCATGAGTTCTCGGTGATGACTAGCTCAATGATTAAATGATTCTCCTCTAACATCGTTCAGGCTTTTTTTTTTAAATTTAGACAAAGTCTTACCATGTCAGCCTAGGTAGAGTGCTGTAATGTCATACCTCACCACAACGCCTGGCTACTTTTCAGAAATGGGGTCTTGCTCTTGCTCAGGCTAGTCTTGAACTCTTGGAAGATTATGCCTTATTTGAGTACAGTCTGATGTGCTGCTCTCCCCCAGCTTTGGGGGAGGCATGCAACCAATGCTAAGTCAATTTGAAACTTTGTTCCTGGAATATGGGTCCTGAGAACAACAAAGGCAGTAAATGAACAGAGCTCATTTATTTCAGGAGAGGCCTAAAAATGCACCCTGCTAGTGCCTGCTATATAGATTCCTAAAGCTAGTGTGGTTTTTGTCCTTCCTGGTCCAATTTTTTAGCTTTTCTTTAAGGTCTGAGAGCAACCTCCTATCTTTACAATAAATTCCTTTTTCTATTCAAGCCAGTTAGTTTCTGTTCTTGTTTAAAAAACCCTAATATATTTCCATGTGGCACTCACTTTTCCCTGTCCACACCTTCCAAATCCATCCTGTGAAATACCAGACTGAGCTTCCTAAAACAAAGCTTTGATCATTCATCCAATACACACATTAAGTACGAATATTATTCATTCACCTTATTTATTAAACATCTATTACGTACAAGGCACGGTTATATTTATCTGAAATATAGTGGTGCTCCAAACAAACAAGGTAAATCAGATGATACACAAGGAAGCAAATAAATATGATAGATAATTTCAGATTGTGCTAAGTGCTATGATGGAAATAAACAGAGTCCTTGGCTGGGTGCAGTACTGAGATGATGGTTGGAAAATGCCTTGCAGTAACATGTTAGTGAAAACCTATGATCTTAATGAAAAGGATCAGCTTTGATTCAGTTTAAAAACAAATAAATGCAATGATTTTCCATTAACCTAAAATGCAAAATTTTGAAAACATGAACTCCCAGTCTCTATAAAATCTGATTTCTAAAAATGTTTTGAATTTTCTCTCCCTTATAACCCCCTTGTAATGACTCCCTACTCCAGACACTTGCTTCTGAGACATAACCTGTATACCTTACTTCTTCCATTACCCAATCTGGAATGTCCTAGAACCCTCTCCCTAGCACACCACTTACAAGAACATTAATCACCTGTTAAAGCTCAAGTTGCAACTCCTCCCTGAAACCTTCTGTTATGGGCTGAATTGTCTCTCCTCACCCCTCCCACATTTATAGTTGAAGTCCTAACTCCTGCACTTGAGAATATAATATATTTGGAGATAAGATCTCTAAAGATGTGACTAAGTTAAAAGGAGGTTTTTAGGGTCCAATGTAGCTGCTGTCCTTGTAAGAAGAGGAAGATTAGGACAAAGACAAGCACAGAGAAGAACCCTGTGAAGACAGCCATCTACAAGCCACGGAGAGGCCTCAGAATCAACCAACCCTGCTGACACCTTCATCTTGGGTTTCCAGCCTCTAGAACTGTGAGAAAAGAAATTTCTGTTGTTCAAGCTACCCAGTTCGCCATGCGTAGTTACAGGAGCCCAAGCAAACTAATATCCCTTCCTTGACTACCTCAGGTTATGAGCAAACACTTCCTTTTAACTCCTGTATTATGCAGAGCCAACACCATTTATATCATGTTTATTTGTAACCTGATTTATTTAAGGACTGATATCTAGTCATTATCCTTCGGCCCTCTTCACATGCCCAACATGGCATATTGCACAACAAATATTTGTTGATTTCTCTGTACTCTGCACTCCAGTTAAATGCAGGAATGAAAATTATGTGTTTTCTTTTTCTAAAGTAAAGCTGATCACATTACTGACCTGCTTTAGAATACTCTTATCAATTTTTCCATTACTTTCTAAATAAAATTCAAACTGTGGACTGGCATATAAGACTTCACACTCCAGCTGCAACTCATCTTTCTACCCTTACTGGACACTCCTTACCATCTACACTACAAACCTGCACATCCAGTTTCTGCCACCTAAAAATTATCTTTCTTACTTCTCCTTTACTTGGCTAAATTGTATAGAAAGATGTAGTTCAAACACCACTGCCTCCATAAAGCTTATGTAATTTGCCCCTAGCCAGCAGCTCAGTCCTCTAAGCTATAGCACCACTTCATGTCTCTGTAATTACGCCACTACTATTTCAACTGATCTGCTTTTACATCTATCTCCCTCATGAGATTTCCTAAAAGGAAGAGCGCTATCTCCACCTATGCACCCTTGCTAAGCACAAGGCCTGGAAGGTATCCACTGGGCAAAGACAGGAATCACCCAACTTCAGGTTTAAGACCTGGACTTGTGCTCCTTTATTTCTCCAGCATCTATTATAAAGCTCAACATGTGGCATTTTTTTCCCCCTTTTTTTTTAAAATGGCATCTTGTAGCTTTAATCACTACTGGATGATAACTCCCAAATCTGTATCTCTGCTTATACTTCTTGAGAGTCCAGCCTCTCAAGCCTGCTGAACAGTTCCATCACAGGATATCCCACCTGGACAGTGTGGCACTTATAATCCACCCCCTGTTGCTTCTACCTCCACCTCTGCTCCTCGCCATATAGTCTCTAGTTTGGTGTGCTGCCAGCCACATGAGGTCTCCTAAACCTGCAACCTCTTATCTTTCTTTAAAAGCTTATTTGACCTGTTGTCAAGTCTAGCCCTAAAATCTGTTCTCCTCCCCACTGGCTTTGGGGAACTAAAATCTTCCCTTCAATTTTCTCCTTCCCATCCAGGACTTCCTAGATAACTTAAGCCCTCTTTTGTTATTCTAATTTTTCCTTGTCAGCGTACACATCTAATATTCCCTACCAAGTAACACTGTCAGTTCCTCAGGAGCAGGAGTTACCTATCTTTCTCAATCTCCATTTCTGCTGAATGACGTATACTCCACTTTCGATAAGTGTTAAAAGAATAAATTAAACAAAAAATTACTTTGAAGAAGATCAACGCCTCAAATTTCTACTTTAAATATCAATTTGGGGGTGCTTAGATTTTAAATTCAATGAATGAGATTTCGTCAAGCACGGGAGAAAGAATTTTAAAACATAATCTGCAATGAGAACTCTTTCTAAAGTGGATTAACCCACTTTGTCTTCTTAAACAAGGTATAGAGAACTAACCATAGGCTCCTTGACTGACGACTCAGGGTCACCATCCTAAACAATCACCGGTCTATTCTGTAACACACAGATGCCCTCAGATGCCAGAGGTGAACAGAGCTGTTAGGTCTTGCACTAAAAATAAAACCCCAGGCTGTTTAAAGTCTGATTTTCCCTCCCATCTCCCACTGTCAGGCAACCCCACTGGAATACCTGTCTAAGGACACCCCGCCTCCACATGCGCGGCTCATGTGGCGCTCTCCCGAGCCACACCGCCGGCTCATGGGGCGCTCTCCTGAGCCACACCGCCCTCGCGGTAACCCAGGATCAAGTGCCGGCGCCCGCGGGGCTGTCCCGTGATTAAAAGGTGTGATCTTTTGTGGATGGACTGCTGAGCGTGTTCCAGAACGGCCATGAAAAGATCACGAGGGGCTGCAGTCGGAGGCCAGCGCGCGGGGCTGCGTCTGGACCGCTGCCCTCCCCGATGCCTCGGCCGTGGATTTCAGACGCTGGCGGGGGCTTTCTCCAGCGGGGACCCGTTCGGCGGCCAAGCATGGCGCTCCCGGCCGGCTGGGGATGCCACGGCGCCGACTCGGAGACCAGATCTTCACCGGCTCCGTGGGGAGACGAATGCACCGCGAGGTACAGACGCCACGGTAGGGGCCGGGCAGGGAGGAGACCGGGGGCCGGGAAGGGCTCCGGCGGGGTTGGGCCGCCACGCGCAAGCTACCGGGCCGCAGCAGGTGCGGGGTCTCCTGCCGCCCACCAGCTCCCGCGCACACCCTCACGGCGCAAGCCGAGCCGCAGGCCACCGGCCAGCCTCCTGCCCAGCGCAGGAGCGCGCGCTTTCAACAGCTCTGCGCGGCGGACGCGCGCCCGGGTGGACGCGTCCACTAGCCCGGGGGCAGTCCAGCCAGGGCCAGGAAAGAAGCCAGTGAGGGAACGGAGCATGCGCACTGGCGAGGGCGAGGCCGACTGCGGACACGGGGCATGCGCAGTGTGAAGGCACAATCGGCTACGTGGGAGCCCGGGGCATGCTCGGTGAGAGCCGAGGCCCAGCGCAAGCGCAGAAGCGACCGGAGCCCGCAACCGGCTGGTGGAGAGAAAAACGAGGACAGAAATCACCTCAGAGTTACGTCAGGAAAGGCCGCGATTTGCGGGGAGGTTGTAGTCTCCCACAGGGCCCCGAAGTTCCCCTAAAGCGAGGAGCGTGACAGTTACTCACCGGTCTTCAGCCCCGAGGCAGACGCTGGGCCCCTTTCCGCTCACACTCGGCTCGCGCACGCCGCAGCCGCCGCTGCCGCTGTGATTCCATCCATCTTGAATTTGACGTCATCCCACACCAGGGATGAGGTCATCGCAGGCAGTGCTCGTCACGTGCGCAGCGCTCTGATTGGCCGCTGGGCGCCGGGGGGCGGAGCGAGGGAGGTCCGCGGCGCTGGGGGCCGGGGAGGGCGGGCCTGCGGGGAGCGGCGCACGCAGTGGCGGGCGCACTGGGTCCCTGAGGGGAGGCCGAAGGCTGGGGGTCGCGCGCTTAGCCGGCATGGCACGCGCCACGTGTGGAGGCGCGGCGGTCTCTTGTGGGGCCTGCCGCCCTACCGGGTCCTGGTGTTGCCCGCGGTCGCCGCGGCGTCTCCCCGCGGTCCCACCTTGAACCCCGGCCCCCGCGGTGGGCCAGCGTGGCGCGCCGCACGACCCCACGGAGCCAAGACAGGTCCCGGGAGCCCAGGAGCGGCCCGGCAAAGAATCCGCGCGAGGACCGGGTCAGCAGCGCCCCAAGTGCGGCGCAACTTCCCAGTGGTGGCGGGCGGCGCCGGGGCGCGGAACGCCGGAGGCCTGCGTGGGATGGCCGCAGGATGCGCGGCGGCGGGGAGCCGCGCTGGAGACTTTCCATTTCCTCCCTCCCGACCCTACGTGCTGGCGAAGACTGCGTGGCAGAGGATCGGGGTAAACAGCCGGGCTTCCCCGCAGCCCAGGCGTGAGCACACTGCCCCAGACACAGACCTCGTGGTGGACTGGGCGGGGTGAGGCGGAGCGGCCCGCGGCACTCGCCGGCGGCGTGGGGTCGGCTCCCATTGGGTAGCGCTTAGGCTTTGGGTGGTTTCCTTCCGAGAGTACTACAGCTCCCATTTAGTAAAAAACTGGCTTCGCTTTCCATCACAACCAGAAAATTAAACCGCAGAAATAGCAAATTGTAAGTCCCAACTCTGCACAAAGGTTCTCTGGTTTGGACACGCTAACCAGAACATCCTTTGTGTTCAAGTATCTATCAAGTATTAATATTCAAATAAATCGAATTTGACCCTAGGTAAGATAATTTATGAAATGTTTGGAGAATATGTGGAGGAAATAATCTTGCATTAAATTGTTAATTAAAAACTTCTTTCCCGATTGACAGCTCTGTCAATTGTTTGACTAATTGTAAGAGGACTCAGTCTTAAAAGAGTCTTACACCTAAAAGTTTTCCCCTACACTTTAAAGAATGTCTTTCTGTTTTGAACTATATGGTGGTAAAACACAAAGTGGCTTTGTACCTAAGGCAGAAGGCAACAGTCTTTCCAAGGCCAGGAGCTTGGGTCCCCCGTGATTAGCCTAGGTGAGTGTATGCTGCTCTTCCCATTTTATAGATGGGAAAACCAGTGAGTGGGAGCTACAGGGCAAAAGCCATTGCTAGAAGCCGGGTTTTCTGGCTCTCACTTCGCGGTACTAAATGTGGAAAGTTTTCCTACACCAGTCGTCCTTTTTAAATACCTGCTTACTGGGTTTTTTTCCCAAGTATCCTAGGGAGGATACCGTTGGTGCCTCTGCTTTTACGGTATCAGGTTTTGCCCCCACTATTAAATTGAAACTGACCCAATTGCCGGGATCCAGCAAAATCCTTTCATCTTCTGGTTGATGTTTTTGACTTAGGACACTACCAATTTCTTCTTCAACGCTGATGGTGTAAATTCCACCTCATTCCCTGGTCTTCTACCTTCTCCCTGACTGCACCCTCTTGGTTTCCTGTGTTGGCTCCTCTGGCCCTGCCTGTACTCACACTGAGTTTCCTAAGGGTTCTGACCTTGGCTTTCTTGTCACCCCCTGTGCACTCTTAACCATCCCTGAGACTTTTGCCCATTTGCCTGAGCCAGGAACTTGGTCGTTCTCTAGAGGTCCCTTGGTATTCGGCTTGTCTCCAAATCCTGTCTGTTCTGCCTCCTCAGTGTTTCTTTGATAGTGTAATCACTTCTTCCCATAACTGCCGCTTCCCATCCCAAACAGCTTCCTAACTCCTTCGTAGCCTTCAGGTTTTTCCTTTTTAACCCACCCTTACATTGCAGCCAAAATGATCTTTTTAAAAAGCAGAAGGTACTATGCCACTACCTTGCTTAAGTTTTAAATGTCTCTCCATTGCTCCCAGGATAAAGTTCATGCTCCAACCTAGAAGAACCTGATGACGCCCACCTCTCCCGTCTGGCTCTGCCTCACACAGACACACACTAAACAAGTCTTGACTCTGTCTCTTGCCTCTAGGCGTCAAGTGTGTCATCTTCTTCACCTGAGCTCCCCCTTTCCTGTGTTAACTCGGTAATTTCACCTTGTTAACGCCTGTTATCCTCAGGCATTTCACCACCTCCCTACCTCCACCCCTGACGGGCACCTCCTTGGCCGCCTTCTGAGTTTGATGCTTCACTTGTGTCCCCATGGCACCTGTGTGTGTTTTGCTACTGGATGCCACCACCTATGTGGGTGCTGCTGCCTGCCAGTCTCTGTTCTGCCTCCAGTGGGCTTCTTTCTCCTTCAGCCTGCCCAATCCTGCAGTATGGGGACTGTAGCAGGAGCTTAGCATATTTTTATCGAGTGTTATCTCTATACTGAAGCATCCCAAACAGGGTGTCTACCACTGTATACACACATATTTATACATTATTTAAAAAGCTGCCTTCCTTCTAAACAATAGCTGGACGTTGTGGCGGGTGCCTATAGACCCAGCTACTTTGGAGGCTAAGGCGAGATCATTTGAGCCCAAGAATTTGAGCTATAATGCCACAGTATTCTAGAGGGCAACAAAAGGAGACTCTGTGAAAAAAAAAGGTGCCTTCTTGTTCGACATCATCACCCAGGTAAACCTCAGCAAGCTCACAGCCTAACTTCCTACTGGTGTCTGTCTTCCCTTAAGCCTGTTCTTTCTTGTCTGTGTCCTACTTAATTAAAGGGCCATCTGCCTTATTAGCCATGCCAGGAACCTGATGGTTGTTTATCTCTTAATTGCGCACATTCAACCCTTGCTAAGTTCTGTCAACTTAAAAGCCTGTTAAATTTGTCCTCACCAGCCTTGCTGCTGCTGTCTCTGGCCTCTAGCATCTCTGCCCTGTCTATGGCCACACAACCATATTCTTGCATCAGTTTTGCTTCCTTCTCTTCCCGGTCTAATCTGTCTTCACTCAAATCCATCTTTCTTTCTTTCTTTTTTTTTTTTTGAGACAGAGTCTTAAGCTGTTGCCTTGGGTATAGTGCTGTGACGTCACCGCTCATAGCAACCTCAAACTTGGACTTAAGTGGTTCTCTTGCCTCAGTCTCCCAAGTAGCTGGGACTATAGGCGCCCACCACAATGCCTGGCTATTTTTTTTTTGTTGTTGTTGTAGTTGTCATTGTTGTTTTAGCTGGCCCTGGCCGGGTTCAAACCTACCCTCCCTTCCAGGGACTCTGGCTGTCTGCAGCCTTGGCGCTGGTCATGGCCTCCCAAGTGCTGTCCTGGGGACTTTGCCCTCCGCCTGCCTCCTGCTGCTGCTCTCTGCTGCTTTTACCAACTCCTCTGCCACCCCCACCAGGGTGCCCTTCTCCTGTTCAGTCTCCATGGTGAATATGATTTTCCAGTGTTGGAACAAAGCAGCATCCTTGTGCACTTCAGTTATGCCTCCAAAACATCCATTCCAGCTATTCCTGGCTGTGCAAAGCCAGATTCCCCACTAGTTTGTATGCTCCTTTGGCAGAGACCACATGAAATAACCTGTGTATCTCCAGAGTTTGGGGTCTGTGTTTAGGGCCATGTCCTGGGCCATCTGCTCCCAATGGCTAAAGTTTTCCCCATAAACTGTTTTTCTGGATTGTGAGCTTTGGGATTCAGGGGTACTAATAATCCTATAACTCTGTTTGCATTTCTTATACCAAACACTACTCTTTCATAAATCAAGGGAGAGTACGCTATATGGAATTTAAAACAAAACCTCTGCATATTTGGAAGTGGGAAGTTTTAATCAGCCGTGATTCTCTTAACCATCATTTCATCTAGAATGTGTGTATCTGTCCAAATTCGGCCAGCCTGTGAGTTGGGTAGTTGTCTCTTTTAAAAAATTAGTATTCATTTCCTAAGGCTACTGTAACAAATGACCACAGACTTGGTGGCTTAAAACAACAGAAGTTTATTCTTTCACAGTTCTATAGGCCAGAAGTCTAAGATGAGTATCACTGGGCTGAAATCAAGGTGTCTGCAGGGCCGTGCTTCCTCTGGACAGCGTAGAGAAAATCCATTCCTTGCCTCTTGGGCTTCTGGTGGCTGCTGGCATTCCTGGGCTGTGTCTGCCTTTCTCAAATTTCTGCCTCTGTGGTCATGTGGCCTCT